TACATATATAAATGAAGAGTTGAATATTCAAAAGAGACAACCTATAGCCTCGTATAAGTAAACACATCTAATGAAAGTGCTAAAATCAAAAGAAGCAACTAGGTCTTGTATAAGGTAATACATACAACATGTAGTAATAATGAAAAGTTCAAAGAGGCAACCAATGGTCTTGTATAAGTCAAAATATAAGATGACAGGAGAAAATCTTAAAAGAGGTTCATATCTATCTATCAGAAGTCCACAGAGGTCTATATTTCATTGTTATGTTTTAATAATAAATATTTCAGCCGTTTGATAAAGTTATTCAACCAGGGGCGTTTACGGGATATTTGAAAGAGGGGGCGTATAATACAATGTTTCGCCGAGCGGAGCGAAGCGAAAATTTTTTTGGGCTAAAAATCATAAAATAATTGATTATTGATAATAATGGTATATTAAAATGATTGGATGGATCTTAACAGCAGAAGACCAATAACGAGAAATTCCAAATTCTAGGGTATAGGGCGTTACTTTACATTTCAATAGTCCTAGGCCAGGATTTTATGAACGGGAGGCGTAATTCCGGTTGCCCTGGTATAGGGTCCATGGGGAAGGTCAGAAGCTCCTGGATTTCAACAATTTAGCATCAAATTATGAAGTATTATAACAGACTCCAAGATAGACAGATTGGTGAAAATAGTCTGCCTTCGGATCATTCAAATTATGTATTGATTAACATGTGGATATCAAATCTTTGGAAGAAGTTGTAAATTCAGTTAAAAGGTTATATGAAATGGGCATGAAAAATGAAAAATTAATCTTCACCGACGAAGGCTATTTGTTAAGCCGAAATATTTGTCAACACGATTTAATAACAACATCTTCGTATAATACCATCTTATATAAGTATTGTTGTGCAAATTTTTAGACTTGTATAATTTTTTCCTTATCTTCACAGTATCGTCTATTCTAGACGATCCGGTACATAGTAAATTTGCTGGTTGGTCCTTTTTATAGACTTCTATACATATATATATATATATATATATATATATATATATAAGACCAAAAAGTGAAAAAGTATATTTTAACAAAACGCATTTGACTAGCAGGTCGAACAACGGATGTTCTTAAACCCTGCTGACTGCCATGGCGATTGCCAAATAAACGGATCACAGATGTAACAAAATGGATCTTAATTTTAATCTAATACCAAATAGAAAACAAAAAACTTGCGGAAAAGATGGTATACCGCAAACATGAGGTGCAAAAATTTGTACACCATATCCGGATTTCTACAATTAATGTCTCTTCAGTGATGTTAGGAATCGAAACGGTATTTGGAAGGCCATATAATTTACCTCAATTTGGGATTGGCTCTTGAATTTTGAAGAGTCGAAATAGGATGAACGGATCATATAAACCCGAAGGCAAATATAATACAAGCCCAAACGAAAAAATATAAACAAGTCTAAATTGAAAACAACGTTCAAACCTATGATTGCGTTGGATAAAAACCGCAATTTTTATACGTGTGCATGCAAAACAAATTTCTTGTTAGAGGGGTCTAAATACAGCACAAACAACATTTTCCAAAAGACCAAAAAGTGAAAAAGTAAATTTTAACAAAACGCATTTGACTAGCAGGTCGAACAACGGATGTTCTTAAACCCTGCTGACTGTCATGGCGATTGCCAAATAAACGGATCACAGATGTAACAAAATGGATCTTAATTTTAATCTAATACCAAATAGAAAACAAAAAACTTGCGGAAAAGATGGTATACCGCAAACATGAGGTGCAAAAATTTGTACACCATATCCGGATTTCGACAATTAATGTCTCTTCAGTGATGTTAGGAATCGAAACGGTATTTGGAAGGCCTCTCCATCCAAGTCACAATTTATAAAAGTAAACCATTATAGGTCAAAGTACGGTCTTCAACACGGAGCCTTGGCTCACACCGAACAGCAAGCTATAAAGGGCCTCAAAAATTACTAGTGTAAAACCATTCAAACGGGAAAACCAACGGTCTAATCTATATAAGAAACGAGAAACACTTATGAACCACATCAACAAACGACAACTTCTGAACATCAGCTTCCTGACTTAGGACAGGTGCAAACAGTTGCAGCGGGTTTAAACGTTTTAATGGTACCAAACATTCACCCTTATCTGAAACAATAGTGTAATATTGTATTTATAATACCCCGTTCTAGATAGTCAAATCTGACCCCTTCCAATGCAAGGCGAAAAAACATAACCCCATTTCAGACAATTTAGCTGAAAATGCAACCCCATTTGTCGGAACATACCCGGTATCATATATATAGCGAGTATCCCCCGGGTAGATGTAGAATGGCCATTGGGGAAGTGTCACTCAAAACAACCATTTCATGTATAGATTTACTTACCGCTTTGGTTGTTTAAAAAAAGGTGTCCAAGTCACCCATCGGATGGGGGAATCAGTATAAAAAGAAATCAGAGTATGTGTTTAATTAATGAATATGATAAATTGCCATATTCAATACAATATAAGCAGATAACGATATTTTTTTTTTTTTTTTTTTTTTGAAAAGGGGGGGCGTACGCCCATTACGCCCTTACCTGGACACGCCCCTATCAACTACGTCCAATCCTGTTCGACATTTACACTAAGTCTACGTTTAGATGCACATAACGATCTACTTAAATTTTACAATAACTATGTATACTATAACCCTAGCAAATTGTAACAAAAAAGTTCCTTAATAATCCATTATAAACACCTTGATAGGAAACGTAGAAGATTTTTAAATGAGGTATTTAAAATAGTTGATTTGCTTTTATGTAATAGAATGTCTAAAAAAGTTCTTGAATACCAGTATTTGTATCATTATATCCAACATTTAATGCTTAAACATGAAAATCTTTAATGAAATAATTTTAAGAATAATAGTGTGCCTGTCTGTCTTCTTCTTGTGGCCTATAGATTTTCTATGTAACAAGGATGTTCCTTTCTTCTTCTTGGAGTTAAACCTTCTTGTAATACAGATGTTTCTACATTCTTCTTCGCATTACTTGGTCAGAAATATTGAATAAAAAGTCATTAACTAGGAATAAAGTCAGTTAAAATCTTGATATCAAATAAAAATCTTAAATCTGTACCGATATTGTAATATGTAATTTACAATTAAAAACAGTATTTTGTATAATACGACTTTGGAGAATGCAAGAAAGACACATATTCTAATATTTGTATAACTAAATTCAGCAGCTTTTATGTATATTCAACATATACGGGAAATGGCGACCCAACATGTTGACCATAAAGTTGTTGCAAATCATTAAACGTCCATTTCACACAAGGACGGAGTCATAATCCACTAAGTCATTTGTTTTTGCAAACACGCGGTTCTGGTGTACTTAATTATGAACGAGGTCTCTTTGATGTTTTTTTTTTTTTTTTTTTGGGGGGGGGGGTTGTTGTTGTTGTGATTTTACCATTTATATTTAGTAGTGACTGTACATTTGCAATGTGTTATATGTTTTGTTTTTGTAACCACTACAAAGCATTTATCTTTGTAATGTCAAATAGAAAATTTAAGACAGCAACAACATATCTTTTTACATCTTTATTCTCAAAACGTCAATGCATTACACCGGTTTAAAGAAACAAATAAACACAATTTAGTAAATACAACATACATAATTACAACCAACAAACAGAGTATACTGGGAAGGAAAAATGAAATATAAGCCAGGAAAACAACACAAGAATTAAGAAAGCGATATATATACATATTTTCTGTAAGATATCTCTGCGTTTACTAATCATAATTTATTGTAAAAGATACGGCTAGTTTCCAAAGGATTATTTCATATAAGGGCCGTTTAAAAAAATCAAATTCTTACTAGAATTCATAGTATGTCAGCTCCATATTTGGACTTTGACGTTCTAACAACATTATAAACATAGTATTTTTAACATTAACCACGATTTATATGTTAACAGATGACTCAAAACTGTAATTTCGATAGATTTTGGCAATATCTAGTAATTCTCGAAAACAAATGATATGTAGGAGAGTCTTAACTAAAACCAAAATTCTGTAGGAAGTAATGGTATGTTCTGTCTTTTGAATATGAATCAATTTATGTTGGTTAAGGATGTCCATAAAATTGCAATATTGTTTCAAAACTGTCTCCCATAACAAAGCCTAGAACTGGATAAGGTCATGATGTTATAGATACGTATGAAATTATTGATAAACGTTTAACGTGTTTTATCTAGACTCTCTAATATTCAAATTTCAGAAGTTCTAAACACTTTTGGAATTTCGTGTGAAAAAAACCCATTGAATTTCACATAATTAATTGAATGATATCATGTGTGTGAGTAAAGTACTCACTAATAACAATCTTATATGCTGATAAAAGATGAAGTCATATTATAAACTGAGAAGGGTCCGTAAAAGGCTTTGCGACTTTCGTGTACTTATCGGACATACGTATAATACCTTTTTATATTAGGATTGTCCCTCTTTGACACAAAATGCAAATATTTTCATTAATTTTTTTTGTTGTTCTTTTCTTAATTTCAATTTACAAAGCGCTTTTCTTTGCTTACCTTCATCAGGAACGCCCAAAGCCGAATATTTTAAAGCCAAAGATGTTAAGAACTGAAACTGTTGAAGAGCTATATGACCAAGTCAGTATAAGGTCAACTTTACCTGAGGTTGTTGAAACCTTAATTTCTTAATAATTGATAAAGTTACAAACGGACAATTCAAAAACTTTTTTTAAGGTATATTATAAATCATGTCAGTATCGAAGTACTGACTACTGGGATGATAAACAATTTATATATGAATGCATTTGTACTATTTAACAAAACAAGTGATGGACTTATCTTTTCAATTCGCCAGCTTAGTCGAATAAGAAACATTTTACAATATATATTTAGACGGACATTAATATATATTTTTACAATAAAAAAACACATTTGAAATGAGAAAAAAATCACACATTTTAGCTTAACTAGACATTAAAGTATCCATTACATCACTACACTATGACATGATTGAGTTTTAAAATATCTCAGAAACACGACTGTAGTAGGAAGCTTAAGGATATAAAGAATATATTAGGATAAATGGTCATAAATGAGATGATATGCTGCTATACCTATCTAATTTTGTGACAAATAAACAGATGTCACATAAAACATGCATTTCACCTATTTTCTTCAAACATCTTTTTGTTTATTTACTCGGTAGTATAAGATAGTTCAAGGATTTTTTTTAATTTGGAGTATAAAACAAGGAAAAAAAGACTAAGTACTGTATGTTATCAATAATAGTAATATTGAGAGTAACCCTAGCTTCAGCACGAACTTCTTATTTTTGATACTTCCCTGGTTTTATCCAAAACCGCAGGTCATGCGTACATTTGAAATCTATTTCGATAAGATGCGTCTTATTGTATTCATAAAGTCCGAGTCATTACAAAATGGTTGAACATGTGTAACGTAAACGACAGTGTGCCTGTTGGGCATAAGCATTCAACATTTAAAACAATTCGTGAAGCATGCCGTTTTAATTTTAAGACAAGCAAGATTAGATGAATACTGGCTCTTATTGCCGCTGATTCAAATTCAATATTTCTTTATGAACGATTTACCATTAACAGAAACGTCTGTTCTTCCAATTGTTGTACTTAAAGTTCTAGACATATTTTCTTTTTCTTCATACATGCTCGATGATTTCAGACACATTACTCTTCTCTTGACGTCCCGGCGAATTTCAATTGACATAGCCAGCATTATAATGAAATCACTAGCACTGTTCAAGACCCTCAATAAATTACCGCCATGGAGCAGAAGCTGTGTGGAGTACGATCTTACACTCATTCCTAATTCAGGGAACATTTTTGCAATGATAGTTGTAACTGAGTTAGGCAGAAAGGCAAGGATATTAGTGAAGCATAGTGCCAGAAATATTTTACATAGCCTGACCTGTAGGTTCTTAATAGACTTAAGATGATCGATGTTGTTCATATTCATTGCAAGAAGGCTTTTCCTGTTCTGGTAAATGCCATGAACTATAAGTACGTTCATGACACAGAAAAAGATAATCTGGACTGGCCCTGCAAAGAAATGAAGAAAGAGGACGATGCTATCATGTTTCGGCTTATCTTCAAGATAAAGACTGGTATACACTCGTTTATACGACGTTTCATTGTTTTCACTGTCTGTCACACCAGCTATTTCTGTGAACAGCGGGATTTGGATGTTTGTACAGACGCTTATTACAAAAGATAGGAACAAAAATATATAAGGTTTCGTGACTGTCAGCGATGATTTCAGTTTAAGAGGATATTTTATTGCAATTAGACGTTCTGCAGACAATACACAGAGAGTGTTAAAAGCAGTTCCTTTCAATATGTATGTAATGAAATTTTTATTCCAGAAGTATATGTTTGCTGCTGTTTTCATGATTGAATCGATATTCGTCATGGAAAGCAATGTTGCAAATGGTAGAAACAAATCTGATACAAGACTAAGCGTATCCGACAAAAGCAAGGCAAACATGTAGATGAACGAGGAATTGGTACCGCGCCGTTTGTACAAATAAGTAGCAACTAACGTGTTTCCAATAATACCTACAGTGCATACTACGGGTAAAACATACATATCTTGTGCAAATTCTAGGGTCTCATAGATTCCTTTCAGAAAATCGACCTCAGTCTCTTCGTATTCTGAATGAGATGTCGTTATTGTCTGGTTGCCAGACATCATATTGTTGTCTGTACTAGAACTGTTCTCTCCTGTGAATACTGTTGTTTGTCCAAGATCATGCATGTTTTGTGTATTTTCAAATTCTGATCCTGCTTGTGTGGTGCCTTCAATGGGATGCCAAATGAATACGAAATACACGGATCGTAATATGAGACGTTGACCTAGTCGATACATCTGAAATCATAAATTTTAGTATTTGATGAAAAGTTCATCTCGAGTTATTTTAAACGGTTTTCTTTAATATTGCTTTCATTAAATTTTTTTCAACTGTTTAAAATGTTGCTTTTTGATAAATAGTAGATAAACATGAACTTTATTTGATGTTATATCTCGTCTCACTAATACATGTATGTACCACCCTTGATAAGTATTTAGTATGACGATAAATTTGCATTTCTGTACTCGTACTGTGAACAACAAATTTATTTATTTTGAAAAAATATTTCAGAACTAACAACAAAATTATTTTATTTAAATTTACCTGTGTACGTTATTTTATTTAACGCCATTTTGTCCCAGGTTAGAGTTGTCTTTCTGACATTGTTCTACTACTTTTTTTATCAATATAGTATTTATATTGTGTCATAGATCAAACTTATTCGTTCAGTGTATGTTTACCTGTTTTTGTTTATATATCTTTTTGATCGAGTTAAGCCATTTCAATTGATATTTTATAGTGTGTCTTTTTATGTTGTAATGTTATACTACTGTTTCAGGTTAGGGTGAAGGTTGGTGCCTGTTAAAACGTTTTAACCCGCTGCATTTGAATGCACTTGTCCTAAGTCAGGAGTCTGTTGTTCAGTGGTTGTCGTTTGTTGATGTGGTTCATAAGTGTTTCCAAGGCTCCGTGTTGAAGGCCGTACTTTGGCCTGTAATTGTTTACTTTTTACACATTGTGACTTGGATGGAGAGTTGTCTCATTGGCACTCATACCACATCTTATTTATATGAACTAGGCATTGATAAAAACCTAGTCCTTCAATTGTGTGCATGTTCACACCAAAAGGAAAACTATATATTTAGACAACACTAACTTAAGAAAGGCTCAATTATGTGAGAAGTCATTATATAGATTTAAAATAATTGCTTTGTCTTCACATATATGTAGGACTCGGAACCGCAATGGTCACGCTAAAGTGCGATGGTCCACGCTGAAGTGCGTTGGTTAACACGCTGAAGTGCGATGGTGACATTGTGACGCTAACTTGTTGATAACTACGCTGAAGTGCGATGGTGGTTACGCTAAAGTTCGATGGTCTGCCTGTGACATTGAGTAAAAAGCAAAATGTACATTAGCTGCATGAAATAACATTATTATGATTTGACCAAAGTAGCTGCTAGCCTCGCATTTGGAAGATCGTTAAATTTCTGTTCAGGTCAAACCAAAGATTTTTTAAATCTAATTTTACAGTTGCCAATTCTCCGATTAGCACGTAGCAGTATGGAGTCAGAAAATAGATTGGATGGTTAAGATAAGCATAATGGGTTTGAGTGAAAGGAAATGTCTTTTTATGGGGTGTTCATGGGCGATCAAAAAAGGTCCAGCGTATGTGTCTATATATAGTACTGAGCAGGGTCCATCTCATTTAATAAAATATAATTTGTTCACGTCATGACAAACTTAGAAATTACTCCCAACAATCATTCATCCATTTATCTGATGTCGGAACAGTGTCAAAGAAGTAAAAAAAATAGCCAATTATATTTATGCTTGACTTATAGCGTGACGTGTCACGTATTCCACCAAAAACTTTAAAATTAGCTGCATCTCGCTGAGGTGGAGAAATTTGGAAGTACACGTAGGGACCAGTCAGGTTTATTTCGGCCAAACTTGTTGTAGAAGATTAACACTGTAACCACAATAAAATTATGCTAGAGTGCCGGTGTTCTACAAAGCAGGATTTATCTCGGGAATAAAAAAACATTATATCAACTTGATATAGCAAAAACATAAGTAATAATTAAAAACCAATTGTTCAGAGAACAATTGAAGGTCTTTCCACTTCTAAAGATTTATTTTGATATGAAAATATTAAAACTCGGTTTAAAATGTCATTACCAGTGTCAAATGATAGCTTATTGTTTGCTGATTCCAAAAATATATGGTTTCTATACAATTTTGTTTGAAATAACGGAGGTAATTTGATACTTCCGGTCTGAAAAATCCGGTATTATTTGATAGTTTATTTGAAAATGCTTTCAAAAATATATTGTTCTATATACTTTTACATGAAATAAGTACAAAAAATAGCCACTTCCGGTTTACACAAGGTCACTAATGTTTGCATTTTCAAAGTCATATGGCTTGTAACCTAATGCACAAAGATCCTATGGCTTTATGATGCATGAATATGAATTTAAAGCAAAGGTCAAAATCTAGAACGTCAAATTTACATATGACCTTGACCTCAATTTCAAGGTCATAAACCAAGGATCTCAAATCAAAAGACATTAGGTCTTTATTATACATGGTTAATGAGTTATATCATCATACGCGTAATTTTTAATATAATAGGTGAGAAAACTCCCATTTAATGTCAGCGTACCCTTTCAACCAAAATGTATGTGTTACGACATGTCGCAACTAACTATTAAGTAAAAATATGTTGTCGATATCTTATAAGGTTTTTGAAAAGAAGTGAAAATAAACCAAAATCAAAATTTAGAATACGACATTGACCTTTGACCTTGACCTAATTTTGTTTTTTTGGACCAAGGACCTCAAATCAAAAGACCCTAGGTCTCTATCACTTATGGTTTACCAGTTAGAAATGCATATCACTTATATCAAATGCATAAGGGGAAATAACTCTCATATGGAGTCTCCGGATAGCTTCGGTCCAAATGGTCGTCCTAATCCTGAAGATGTAACGAGCAATTTTGTAAAATAAATTTGTCGCTTTCTTTTACGGTTACCGAGGAGATCTCGGAACAATGAAAAATCAAAATTTAGAACATGACCTTAACCTTTGACCTTGACCTCAAATTTATTTTTATGAACCCAGGACCTCAATTACACGTACTTTAGGTCTGTATTACTTACCATTCATGTTATACATTAACATATCACTTATGTAAAATTCAAAAGGGGAAATAACTGTCATATAGAGTCTACGAATTGATTTGGTTAAATTTGACAAATCATCATTAGGATAAAACGAGCAATTTAGTACAATAAATTTGTCGCTTTCTTTTACGGTTACGTAGGATATATCGGAACAATGAAAAGTTAAAATTTAGAACATGACCTTATCTTTGACCTTGACCTCAAATTTATTTTTATGAACCCAGGACCTCAAATACACGTACATTAGGTCTGTATTACTTACCATTCATGTGATACATTGACATATCACTTATGTAAAATTCAAAAGGGGAAATAACTGTCATATGGAGTCTACGAATTGATTCGGTTAAAATTTGACAAATCATCCTGAGGATATAACGAGCAATTTAGTAAAATAAATTTGTCGCTTTCTTTTACGGTTACGGAGGAGATCTCACCACAAAGAAAACAGTGTTTGGAAGATAACTCTTACAATAAAAAGTCTTCGACTAAACAGGGTCAGTCTCAAAAGCGCAATAACTGTTCGATATCATATGCCAAAAATTTAAGCAACATCTTGCGAAACCACAAAACAAGTTTTGAAATTTGGCGGAAGAAGAAAAAAAATAATCAGAACAAATACAATAGGTCTTTCCACGAAATAGTGGAAAGACCTAATTAATTTTATCATTAAATTGTCTACACAAAATCACGTGACGCATACTTGAAGAGAAGTCAAAATTTATATCTAAATCAATATATTTTATGTATTGTGCTAAAAGTTTATGGCATACTTTCGAACACTGGTGAGCACATTTGCTGACCAAGTTCATCTTTCAGCTGCTTTGCTCTCCACGATTTGCTGCCTGAAATGGTTTAACATAGTTTTGTAACCTCCACCTGTACTGCTCAAAACTGTTCGGGAGTTGAATCGTTCGTTACATTTTATTTTTTCATTCCTTTCTTTCCTTGCCTGCGAATCCATGTTGTATTTTTAAAAGTAACATTGTATTTGAAAACGTCAAAATATTCAAGCGGCATGCCAAACCATCGCACTTTAGCGAAAGGACCATCGCACTTCGGCGTGGACCATCGCACTTCAGCGTGACCATCGCACTTCAGCGTCGAGCCCATCGCACCTCCGAGTCCTACAATAAATATTTTTATACCTATGTTGCAAGAGTAGCGAAACAAGTCTTGTTCACTGGTATCACTAAGAAACATAATTTAGTTTACCATAAAGTATATGTGAAAGTATATATGGCAAATATCTGCATGGTATTCAACTTAAATTTTCTTAATAATACTTCTAACATAAATTTTTTATACTTTTTCATTATTTCAGGATATTTCCTAAACAGAATTATTACAAATAATATGCTAAAGTACCTCCAAAACTGGATGTTTTGTTTTGGTTTATTTTGTCGTTAGGTTGATGTGTCATTGATGTATATCTTTTTCAAATTTTAAAAAGCAACATTTAAACAGTAAGTCGTCATGCGCATTCACGAAAAAATGCTCCACGCGCAGAAACCAAAACAATTAACGGCAAAGAGGAAGGCACAATTTCTCCTGGTTTTTTTTCAATCACATGGTCAACTTAGAAAATTTTTAAAACCCAGTGGAATTTGGAAATTAAGGAGTGTACATAGTATAAATGAGATACACAATATTTCCAGACAACCAAACTGTAATTTAGCGTAAAATATTGCTGTTGAAGACAATATTTCTGATGTTTCATGTTTGTATCAAATTTCGTTTCGAAAGATATCTTCAATAAAAATCTATATAACAGCTTTCATTATTATGTAGATGTTGGTTAAGAACGCCCTTCATATGCTAGTACTGTTTTTGGATAATTACTTCAATTTTCCAAACAAAAAAAATATGTCAAAATTGCATTTTTAACAATCTTTATGTATTTATAATTTAATCACAAGTTCGAAAAACCCCCAAAATGATGTTAAAACTGTAAAGCACATATAAATCTATGTGAAACTGTGAATTTCGGGGGGAAATGAATGACATGGTCCTGATGTTAAATAACTTAGAGCAAATAGGTCCTATTGTAAATTTGTTACAACATTTGAACTAAAAACAAACATTTTCGTTCAGATAAAGGCATAAA